CGATACTGCCCTTTTTTTCGGCATGACCAAGTTACTAACCAGATAATTTGTTTCTGACAAGATCTCAACCGGAAATCATGATGAAAAATTGAACGGCCTGACTTACAAACTGATTGACAATTTCCGTAATACGTGGAATGCTACCAGTGGGATAAAATCCGTTCATTAACAATCGTATTTGTCAAGCGGAATAATCGGTGGACAAGATCGATTATTCTTACTGATAGAGGAACGTGTTCGCGCTCTACCAGTTCCATTATAAATAATTTATTAAAGTATCGTATTCTCTAAATAAATTAGAATATTGCTACGGCAGTTGGTTGGCTTTTCCTCACGCTTGACACACCAGTCAAAAATAGTCGCTCCGTGGAACTACCATCCAAAATTAGTTATTATTGTATGCAAAAAACGTTTCCGCATCGGGGAATTGAACCCCGGCCGTCGCGGTGAAAGCGCGAAATCCTAACCACTAGACCAATGCGGACCAAGTGCAATCTTGGCTTCGATGTTCATATGTTAGCATATTCTGATTGACGAACGTATACCTATTTTTATCTTGACGATTAGTCAACCCTTTTCAATAATAGGTTAATAACACCAAATTTGTAAGTGGAGTCACCCACATTACGTCAATATTACGCCACATATTCGCCCGAACATACGATTTCCACACATGGAAATAATCTGTATACCCCAGTTTGTTACGTTATTACGTTAACACACGTGCATTGACAGTTAAATGCTCTATGGCTTATGGATCTGCGCAATGTTTTTATACAAATAAAAATTTTGGTGCATTAAACTTTTTCCGATTAAACTATTACTATTTAAATTTTTGATCGTAACTAGTTTTTTCAATTCGACTTTTACTTAAAAGTTTTTGTTACTGGTATTTTTTTTTTCTCCCCACCGTTAGTTACATACTCTCGTTCTGAATCACCATAATAACAATGTCTCGCAACATGCACAAACTTGCTGTCCGTCAACAAGCAAAGCAAAAGGTCGTATCACCTCTAGCAGCTTACGTAAATCAGACCAATGGTCATAATACTACCGACGAGGAGAGATTGAGTGAGACCTCTGGGGACACGGTAGATTCTTGGTTGAGTACTGGAAGTCGAGGAGTGGAATTTGAGGAGGGTGTGAATTGGGAGGACGAGCTCTTGGAAAGCATTGAAATGCTTGAAGAAAGGAGAACAAGGTATGTGTATTGTAGACTGTAAAATTTTGTGAAGGAGGGTTTACGGGATAGACTATGTGAACGGTATGACAATGTTGTAAATGTGTTAGTAAGCCAAACTTTTCTGTTAATAGTACTCGAGAACAAGGCTTGTCGCAGTTAGTTCGTCTTATGACTCATAAGTATGCAGCATCCGTCCTTGATTCTCATCAAGATAGTCTGCTTGATCTGTTGTCAAAGTCAATTAAAAAGGAGAAAAGCTATAAAGAGAATCAAATTGCAGCGAAAGGTAAAAAGCTATATAAATGCAGGATGAATATAATCATCGATACGCTAGTTTTCTACTAGTCGGCTAAATCTTTTCCTGTTGATTATCTTATAGTCATGCTGCTTTTATTTGTGACGCTCGGTGAATCACGGGTGTCGATGTACCAGTCAGTAATGCAATTGCTAAAATATACAATCACAAATACAGCATCCGCAGAAGTCAAAAGCGCAGTAAGTTTCGTTCTATCCAATAGAAGGTTGTCGGTTATTGATTCTTTAAATCGGTTTAAGTATTGTTCACTAATACCTAATGTATACTCACTGCCATAGTGCATAAAAACGTTATGTCTTGCCTGCTTCATCTCAGCTTCCGGCATGGATGCAGTAGAATTGATCGGATTCTTTGTTCAAATAATCAAGACTAATGGAAGTTCAGTCAATGCTCCCAATGATTCTTTAACTATTGCTGCAGCACTGAAGGCTTATGGCCTGCTCTATGCTGGTCTCTGGGGCGATAGCAAACGCAACTCCCATGCTGCGCGAGAAGAGTTTGACAGAATCATGCCTATGCACATGATACATCTCGAATCGCCAAGCATGGATGTTAGAGTTGCCAGTGGAGAGAATATAGCATTGATGTTTGAGACACTGAAAATTGGGCATGACCGTGCTACAGGCGAATGGGGAGAAGCAAGCGAGTCCGACGAGGATTATGAGGGATCCGAGGATTACGAAGACATGGACAAGTTGTTGGAGTTGCTAAACACTCTTGCAAGAGATGCTACCAGATGGAGAGGAAAGGCGGAGAGGAAGACCCAGCGATCGGTCTTTAGAAATATTTCTAGAACCGTTGAGGTAATGTGTTTGACGCTAAAACTTTGCTGTCTGGGAGGGAAATTCACTTCTAATTTGTATCAATTCATTCGATGTAGTACGGTGAACGTGTCCAATTGAAATTGAAAATTAAGAAACAACCGATTTTTTTCTCAAGTTGGTCAAAAATCCACCAGCTTCAAGCTTTTCGTGATATCTTGGCTGAAGGACTGCATGTGCATTTTCAAGAGAATGGGCTCTTGCAATCCTTGTTTGACTTTGAGCCAGAAGTGAATGTGATTAAGTCTCGGCCCGGATCAGCTATGAGTTTGAACACAGGAGGTTCGGATACCGATACGGGGGTTAGCAAAGGGAAACGAAAATTTAAGAAGAAACGTGGAAAAGACAACAGGATGGAAGATTTACTCCGAATTGGATAGCCGAAGGGAACATGCAAGAGTTGGATGAAAATAAAGCATGAAGTACAAGATAAGATATTCGCGCTTACAAAGAAGGAATTGGGTGCAGTCGTTTAAGGTGGGAGGTGATATGTTTTTCTGTTTGAGTCAGAGTCGAGAAGGAAGCATGTGACGAGCACTCGTAAGCGCAGAATAGTGGGGTCAGGACAAGAATGCTTGCTATGGGAGTAGGATTAAGAAAGGAGTTTTTTGTTAGCTTTTTCGCATATCAGTTTTGTATATTCATTCAACTAAGCAATAAACATTGCAATTGACATCATCGTATATACTTCATATCACGTGTTAAGTTGACATTGTCGGCCAAGTAAAGGTTATGCATCAACAAACATCAACAAACGGATGATACCCCGCGCATAGCCTATACAGAAACATGGTTAATTAAGGCTTGAAATGAACAATTCTACCATGAAAGAGAAACCAACGGCTGGAGAAAGAGTAAAGTATTACCTATATAACTAATTCCACTTATTCCTACTTGATGGTGTACTAATTGCCATTTATCATGTCGTCAAGCTGGGGTTATGGGTATTATCTCTAACCTTTATAAGCACTGTTGCAACAAAATTGTTCATTCTATTGATCAGTATATTAGTGGCACACGAACACACATTCCTTTATGAAATTTAATGGTCAGTTTGTTAATAGAAGAAAGCGATAATGCAATAAGAATATGTAAGGAATTTAAGATCGGCAAGGTTGTGAATTCTAGAATGTCTTTTTAACTAAGTCACGTGTCTACATGACATTACCAGAAAACGTTATGCCAACAATCTGTTACAGGTTACTGACATAGAGTCATGTTAATTAGATACTGGTTGAACCTATCCATTTATGCATATGCAAACAAATACTAGATCAAAAACCGATGGTAATGCTGTTATTAATTGGGAAACAATGAAATAGGTATACCAACACTACAATATTCGCTCGAAAGTCTCAGGACTCTAGATAGGCGTATAATAATGGGCGAATGCGTCTACGAGATAACAATCGAATGGGGAATAAATGACTATTCTCCAACATAAATACTCTCGATCGTGCTATATGTAACCGACAGCGAGTACTTATTAGTAACCGAATTGTCAGTCGTTAGTAATCGAAACCATTTTCCGTTAAGCCGCGCGTACAGTGAATAACCAAAGGTGGCACAGAGAAATGTAAGGTTGGGTGCGGGCAAGCGTTATAGTTTATAGAGACTTGTTGCGTTTTCGCATAGTCAAGAGACTTTAAAGGTTACGATAACTCGCTATATGTTGGTGCTTTGCAGACAACCAATAACATGTTGTACAGAACTTGAATTTGAATAAGGTTACAGCTGTTAATAATAGAAGTAATTACGTATTCCTACCCTCCTCAAACTGAATGTTTAAAGAAAGTCAAAACAGAAATACTCAAAACTTTACTTTAAACCTTATAGAAACTAGGATAACCAACATTAAGGATACCATCAATCTTAATCTATCCGTTTGATAGCGCGAAATTTTTTATCCCAATAAACGCAAAACAAGGCCTCTGTGAAGGGTCATGTACAAATTAGTTGTCTTGCCATTTTATCAGTCTTTCGAGCTTTTGACTGTATTTAGTATTCGATACGTTATTAGAACTGTAATCCTATATGTACTCACTTTGAACCCATAATACGTACAAAGTTGTTTATACATTTAGTACGTAACAACAACTTGCAGCCGTAATAATCTCAACTGTCTGCAGTATTACAATAACGTGTTCTGTCTCGGGTTAGTTGAGTAAATACGGTTATATTAATACACTTTTAATTAATTACTATAGATACTGCATCCAAATTCTTTAATTTCATCAAATTGATAACATGGGGGCGTGTTACCCTAACATGCATACAGCATCGTGTGTTTCATACGTTAAAATTTACCACGCCTTACCTTCATATGGCCTACTTTTGTTTTAAGGAATCACGAGGAGACCAACTCATTAAAGCAATTGATCTTCACAAATTTACATCATGTATTGTAATTAAGTTTAGTCTTAAAGTTAACGTTGTTTAATTAGTTGGAAGATCTCATAGCCAATTAACAGATTCGGAATAACCGTTCTGTGAATAATTAAAACTATTCATTATATTGTGGCGCTATGACGTCCACTAATAATGTAAAATCTAACCCGATTAAAACACACGACAAAATTCTGTCTTTCATTCTGCGTCATTAATTCGTCATTACCTTCACGTTTTTTCTGAAACCATCATGTAATAACGATATGAATTTCATCGACTCTTCATATACGAGATGGCCTCTATTAGATTCTTGCAGAGATTCAAGAGATCGGCCTCCGAATTCAAGACTTTTTCGCGTCTCGATAGCTTTAGCACACCACAAAGGCGAGGAGCCTATGCCCTTCTCGCTGGTTTCATCGTCGGAGCTGCAGGTGTGAGTAAAAACACCGATTGTCATTTATCACTATGTTCCCTAACAGTAAACAATACACCCTCAATCCAGGGAAGTTTTCTCAAACTGAAGAAACTCGAAGATGCAAAAGGGCATATCGTTGCTTATGCCGAAGGACGAGAGCCTTTGTCGCGCAAATCATCGATTTTAGACAAAGGTGCAGAATTAGTACAGAGCTTTAAACCTATCGATCAGATTCATCAACATCTGTGTGGATTTCAGTTTTATGCCCATGGTGAGTACATAGCGTAGGAGAGAATGTGTTGTTCCTTCTTTTCCCCCATGATAAAATGACGTAGCGATTTTAATACATTTCTTTTCGTGTAGATATGAACAGGTACTGTTGTAAATTTTTATATAAAATTGTACCTGTCATATTTCTTAGTGAAAAATGCTTACGACGATAAAAAATGGCCACCCAATCGCTGATTGTAAAGACAGCTGGAAGTCCACCAGTATTGCTCGCATCTTAGTGAAGACATGCGTCAATGTGTGATGTACGATGCGCCGAGCAAAAAAGGGCGCCTTATCGGTGTTGAATACATTATAAGCGATAAATTGTTCGAAAGTAAACCTCATATTTGTTTACTATTCCATAATTACGCGGCTTAGGGGTTTGCATTAAATCTCCTTCTAATCGCCGCAACGGTCTTTTCCTCACCCCAGGTCTACCCCCAGAAGAGAAGAAATTCTGGCACTCTCATAACTACAGCGTCAAATCTGGCCTCTGGGTCATGCCAACCGGTATACCTGACATAATACACGAACCAGCAGAACGCGCCGAGTTGGCAAGTCTTGCCAAGACTTACGGAAAATCATTCATATTTTGGCAATTTGACAGGGGCGATCGGCTTCCGCTTGGACCTCCTCAGTTAATGATGAGTTTCACAGATGATTGGCAGTTGGACCAACAAGTATTTGCACGTAGAGACGCAAGATATCATTTGAATACTGAAGCGAAAAGAGATGAAAGAAGACGTATCCCGGACATGAAGGTCGACCCTGAAGCAGGTGCGTACATGAGTATATTGGTCTGGGTTTAATAAATTAAGAGATAAATTCTTAACATTACGGTCTAATATTATTTAGATCATTGGAAGTCTGGTAAAGGTATGAATTATGAATTGCAAACGCAAGTGAATGCTCCATTCATAATTACTCACAAGAGTTTCATTTAGCGTGGCAACCTCAAATGGTCAAAGTACCTTTCAAGGACGTGACCTGAAGTGCGGATAAGATGTATTTCATTGCGTGCATGTACACTTATTCAAGATGAGTTTCCGAGCAAACTAAATATTGCATGCGATAACAAGAGCTTGAATACCCTTCTGTATTTAGTACAATTAATAAAACCATTGCCATCCAAAGGATAGCGATAGATCATTATTGATATCCAGTAAAGATTTTATGTGATGGCTTATTTACTCAATATATTGGAAAGCTTTCATCAACGTCTGTCGCCCATCTATGCAGCCCGCCGATTATATCCTTTACTGTTCCTTGTAACTTTTCCTTCAAGATCCTTACAGCAGGTTGAGAATCGTTGCCCCGCCGACATATTACATACACTATAGGATAAAAATCCGTTAGACTATCATCATCAGATGGAGTTTGCATACGAATTACAATAAACTACCTGGTGTTTTCAAAGAAGGTAACGCATTTTTAACCTCGTCTATCCTCCTTGGAAGTTCAGATAATGGAATGTCTGTCAAATAATTACAATTATGAATTATCGGCTTCAGATTAACAGAACGTCATCTTGAAAAGACGTACTTAACGACTCTGGTAGGCTGCAAATGCCAAACTGGGTCTCATCACGAATGTCTAGAAGCAGATGTGGAATATTTTGTTCCTTATACGAATGATAGGTCTTTACGAAAAAAGTTCCATATTAGTCATACGAAATTAATCGTTTCAATCGACTGCCTTTTTTACCTTTGGATCTATTCTTTCTTCTGGCGTAAGAAGCATTGTTTCCGGACTCTATATAGATCAAGCTGATTAACAGTGTCTTTTATATGCTTGATTATATATCATTGAACATAAATATATACCTTGTCCAAAGCACCGCTTCCACAAAATTGGACATAATCTTGCAATTCTTTTATAGTTGGATTGTCGCCGCATATTGCACATTCTTTCTTTCTCCCTCGTAATTTGATTGAGCGAAAGGGCGGATACGAATTAGCCGAGAATATTAACAAGTTGTGTGGTTCCGATGGATCTATAAAAATGGATTACTTGAACATCATTTTGTTTACATAGTGTGAGCACAATACTTGTATGCATAACATACACATGCTTACCATCCATGCCAACAGCTATTTTGATTGCTAGCAATGCTTGTAGACTTCCGATAACGCCAGTGACTATAAAAAGCCGAGCCTTTATTACACTGTACTGTCAAAGCTTGCTAATGCAAACGATAAGCTGGAACTAACCCGCGCCCAGAACACCACCATCAGAACAATTCACTACTGTCTCTGGTGGAGGTGGTTTAGGAAATAGACATCGATAGCATGGTCCATTTTTATAATTGTATACAGTCAGCTGGCCATCCATTCTTAAAGCACTTCCAGACACTAATGGTTTTCCTGTAATTACACACGCGTCATTGAGCAGATATCGAGTAGCCACATTATCCGTAGCGTCGACAATTATGTCGTATCTTTTAAAAAAAAAAGATGCGAAAATTAGATCACCTATTTCAGATGTTGGAACGTTTCAAAGTACGTGTAAATACAATAAAATACTTACGCCTTTATTATTTTCAGAGCATTTGAACTATCGAGAAGAATATTGTATGCTATACACTTGCAACATGAATTGATTCTATAGACCCATTAGCGACAAAGCAAGTCTTGATGGCTGATTGGCGTTAACAAACCATATGATTTACATCTTTGTCAGGGGTTAAGAACCTATGAGAATACCTTTCGACGGACATTTTTGCCGAATATGCCTTTGAAAGACCCTGCCGGAATTCACTATGAATTACCTGCCGCTGGAGGTTGGACGTTTCAACATTGTCATAGTCTACGATTCCCAAATGACCTACATTCGATCAATTGTAGAATGATTGATCTCAAAAAGAGTAATAGGAAAATCAAATCATAAACAAGGCTAACGTTTCCTACCGACTCCTGCTGCTGCAAGGTACATTGCTGCAGGCGCGCCCAATCCGCCAGCACCGACAATCAATATGGATACGGATCTTAACTTCAGCTGAGCTGTAGATTAGAGCAAGTAATTGCATTTAGCAAAGACTTTTGCATCAGATTAATGAACCAAAAAAAAATGATGGTGGTATTATGAGCAAGAACTCGATCTAGTCATTTCATTTTATCGGATCCGTCCCAAACATCAATCAGATCAGTATAATTAAACATTATTCTTTTACCTGGCAGTCCAAATCCGGGTAATATTAATTGCCGTCCATATCGCAAATACTCGGGCAGAGATAGTTGTTGACTCCCAGTCGCTTTACTATTCTCTACATTATGCTCGATATTTTTGCTATTTGGAAGCGTCGATCCTGCAACGGACCTAAGTAGAGCAAGCTCTTCTTCAAGTTCGATAACTCTGCTTTTAAGGCTTTCCACTTCCTTGTTCAGCTTTCTGTTAAGGTCTAATACGGCCTCCAAACTCTGATTCTCAGCAATGGTTCCCATTTCTTCACAGCGAAAGATTGCAAACCCTGCGATCGACATGTGATCTAACTAATAACCAAATTAGGCTCGACTTCTAATTCGTGTTCGCTTTCTGACAATTTATAAATTTTATTAATTAAAAGTTAATAATAATTAATCTGCTCGCTATTGCTTTCAATAACGAGCTTGCAGCAGCGAGACATTTATTCTATGTGACTACTTTTTGGCATTTGTCTTTCACAATTGTCTATAGATTTGCGCCTAAGTTCGGACTGTTGGATGGCCAATCCAGCATTTCTGGAACATTCTCTTGAAGGAAATTCTTCGCTCAGCGGATGTTGAATAAGAAACTTTACTTATGAAGAGTTGATAAATGCACTTGTTAACGAATTAACGAATAGAGTACATGATTACAACGTTTTGGATTTCAAGGACGAAGAGGATTTTTTCTCGCCTTGTTCTTTTTATTATTGAAAAGCTTTGAACCGGAGATTGTACACTAGTGAAATGATAGATAATAATATACAGTGCCCTGCCAAAATTTTACGACCACCCTGTCGATCAATTAGTAAAACATGAAAAATCTATTTTTTCGAAAATTTCTACTGGTCATATCTACAGTCGAACCTCGTTCGTTATACTGAATTTTCGTTATACCAAAGGAATTCTGGCTCCCCCGTTTTTTAAATAGTAAAATTCCCTCGTTATAACGAATTTAATAGTAAAATCTCGTTATACCGTTACCGAAGTTTGTGCAGGATTTTTACATAATAATAAGCTACTAATCGCTTTATACCGAAGTTTTATCACGTGATAAAAATTGTAGAATAGTGATTGGTTGTAGCAGATAAGATCCGTTTTTTGGTCACATGATTCTGGTATGGCGCCAATATTTTTAATATTTTCGATCAGCTGTATTTCGTATTTATTGTTTTTTAAATTCAGTCATCATGTTTATGATACTTCGATCATGCAATTTTCGATCATACGATTAATTCTGAGACGTAAATATGATTAGAGTAAAGATATTATTCACATAAGTCTCATTATACCGAATATTGCTTGACCTTAGGCCTAACTTCGTTATATAGAGGTACCTCACTATACCGAATCATGGATGCCTCCCCCGACACTTCGGTATAACGAGGTTCGACTGTATTAAACAAATAACAAAATTTTTGCACTGTTATGAAGCTATTCTTCAGGAAAAATAATGATTAAACTGGGCTAGTTGTCATATTAACGCTGTGGTTCGATGAAGTGATAATATATGATTAAACATATGATTACATATTCGTAATATATATAACATCATCTCGGCTCAAAGACTACAATCAATTAGCTTCATAACAGTGCAAAAAATTTGATTTTTCGTAAAATTTTTGTACATAGATTAATAAAAAAGTGGCATCATACTGTGGATTAGTCAGTATTTGTTCCTGTAAATGACTCAATTTTTAAATCCATTACTGTTGTTCCTGTCGTATAATCTAAGGAAACTTACATTTAACGTCCCAAGATTTGCGCTGTATATGAGTTGTTTTTAGAAAAGATAAACTATTCTACTCACTTCGCCTTAGCGTTTTGGGTGTCAAACCCGTACCAATTATGAAGCATTAGCAATATACATCTTGTATCGAATTTCGACTCCACTATAACAAAAGATTTAACTGTTTAAGTAAAGAGATACTCACTATAGCAATCGCTCATATAACTTGCTGTTAATACTAAGGAATGTGCTCAGGAGATTTGATTAATAGTATCTGGTCAAAGATAACTAAAAAGTCACCAATAATTGATTGCAAATAAAAAGAGAAGACCAGAACTTATTTGCACTTCCGTTTATTCTATACTTTTGATTGAATATTAATCAAGCATCTAATATTCACTGAATATGTCAAATCTCCAGGATTCGACTGCACTTTATATACATGTTGTGATAATACAAATAATGTAATATGTGAGTCACATGATAAAATCTTCCTCCGCAGTCAAAGTTAAAATTAGCAACGGCGTTTCTAAATTTCTGCGACAGGCGCAATAATCGCAAACAGCGTGAACGCCATAATTAATTTATATTTATTAATTTTGATTGTTATTATTATAGAATTACTAGTCTAAAAGCGTTTCACTTTTTCTGCGACGTTGTGAATGTTGAATATGAAAAAAATTGTTATTCGAATAAATTGATAATACTACTGATCTTAGTAGTAATCTTCTATCGAAATAATTGATTATTAGACCGGACTCCAATAAACGGCTCACTTAAACTGTAACGGAATAGCATTGATTTGATCAAGCTAGTAAAGCTGTCCGCGGATCAATTACGTGAATAACGGAACGAGAGTTTATAATTAATTATCAAGACGATTATTGTTTAATTAGTTAGTAAAAGACAAGTCGACTAGATTCCTTAATAGAATAATTGTTGTTGTTATTCTATTAGAGGCACATTTATTTGTACTCACGAGTGTTTGAAACTCGGATAGGAGTGAAAAGCGCGTATAATTAATTAATAGGTCACTTGTAGGCTTAATTCAGTCTTAATTGTACAACTATCGTAGTAAGGGCGATAGTACGAGCTAAGCCTGGTAACATCCCCGGTCGGCGAACACACACCTACGCGAAAGATAAATCGCTCTCCCAAACCCCCATTTATTTCCCGACCGTAACAATTATCAGACCACTAATACAGCAATTTTATTTTTGGAGATGTGCAAGTTTCTTCACAAGTCTTACTTCTGAGTAGCGACTTAATTTTCTCTTCTTCCGCTGGGCTGCCAATTCCCCTCGTGTCAAATTGACACAGAGCTATTATAGCACATCTCGATTAATTTAATCTTAATATTAATGTGATAAGTATTACATACAGTACTTACCGCCCACTTGATTAAGCCTTCATACATGAAGACGAAGTCAGGCATTTCTTCCCAGTCTCTAGGAATATTAAACCTATCGACTTCAAACAGCCTGTGTTTCTCTAAGGAAACATAAAATAAATGTCAACTTTTAGATTGATTACAAGTTCCTACATAACATATTAGCAATATTGCATACCACGGAAGTCGAGCATTGTCAGATTGATGTTCGTCCTTGAGGCTGTCCAACCATATACCCGGAGGTTTATGCAAAATCGACGACGTGCTGCAGCCTCAGAAAGAACAATATCGTTGTAAAGACTTGCCATCGTCTGCATGTTCTTTACATCATCATCCACAATCTTCTTTGCTGGTGCTCCCGGCCTTGCACCCTCTCCACAAACAACTGCATACTTTTCTATATTATTTATATAGCCCACACCATCTACATACTTTTTTCTATTTTTTTGTGTTTCTAGTGGAATTTCACCGCTGCAATATGAAAAGACAACTTCATTAACAAAAGGACATCACAGACATCACAAATTAACAGCAGACATCACTTACAAGACATAGATCACATCTGCAAAGATGTATAGAGCTGCCTCAATCAAAGGGTGTACGAATTTGTTTAAATGAGGACGCTCCAAAGTTGTGATGTCACGGAGGGGATTAAGAGCAGATAGGCTGAATGCTCTTAAGCTAGATGTAGGTGCAATGGATGGTTTAGATTGTATTTTCATAGAATCTCTAATACTTCAGTTAGACTTACAATCCTGGAAGTGTCTGCTTTAGCAATCTTTTCGTTTTTTTTAGCGAGTCAGAATCTGAATCATCAGGTGGCATCTTTTCCACAGCATCTATCCAACCCCGTAGACCTCGATCTGCATTGAAGAAATTAACTAGGAAGTCGTGCAATTCTTCCGTGATAAAATCGTCAATATCGTCAAAAACTTCATGAAGAAGAGTTTCCTGTGTGTCATTGTTGAGTGATAGCGATAGCTCTGATGTTGGGCGTAAGTCCATTATATTATAGGAACTGAAGTGTTGAGCAAAATGCTCAGAAACAGCCTTTTCAGCAGCTGATGCTTTGACCATATCTTGTAGAATATTGTGCACTAGGGCCGTCTAAATTCAAGTAATAAATTAGAATTTCCTCAAGAGCTTGATCAATATGAGATTCCATCAGGACAAAATTGCACTAACCTCATCATTGTAATGATTCTCATCCTCCAACTCGGTGGTAGTGTCATTTTCTAAAGTTAGCTCTTCTTCAATCGTCCTAGCACTCTCTTCCTCTTCTTGACAACGTGTGAACCGACTTTTTATGTTGGAGGTGGCAGCGCTGGCAACTGTTGTCATTTGGTCCGTGACCTCGTTTGTCACCCTTAGTTCATAATTTTGCTGTTCGTGATTGAAGTTAGTAATCCAGTAATAGTAAAGCGCTGCAGCAACATCAAAACTATATGAGAAAATTTACCATTGATTCCTGAATCTCTGCATCTATCCTAGCACCTGATCCCCAATAAGTATATATACGTCCGTTTCTTTTAATATCTCGCTAAAGAATGGAATATACATGAACAAAGCCCCATTTTTTCGGCATTCTCAGAACAAACCAACATATTTACTAAGGAAGCGGGCGAGCACTGCTGGCTATGTACCAATAGATCCCAGTTAAAAGGCGAGCGTCAGGCAGGACAAGTCCCCTGACAATCCCTTCTAACCTACTGATGCAATATGCTATAATATGCACAAACGTGCAGCTGGGACCATGGTCATTATGCCGCAACCGTACGAGTGCTTGAAAACTTCCAATCAATCCACCGATCACAGTATGTCACACGGGCGGGTGCTGAGCCAGATACAGTAATTCCCCAACAACCCCGATGACTGCCACCCGCTTACCCATATAAAAGATAACTATATAAAAGATAACTCACCTCGTTCTTCTCTAGCGCTTGTTTTGCCGATGTCTTCTCTTTGTCAGAGCCCCGTCTTTGGAGCCATTTGAGCTGATTTTTGAGAGCCATAGAAACGGTCCCTTTGTTCAAAGGAAAACCAGCAGCGACCCAGGCTTTATGATACTGTAGCGGGTCCCATTCGGATGGCGATGCACTGAGCCAGTAATTAAAACCCCTTTCCTGCTCCATTTCTACCATGGATTTAACGACCATCTGGACAAAAGAAATTTTCGTTGCTTCTTGTGAGCGAATGATGTAGTAACTATCGCAAGAATCACCCAAGAAATCGACAAATTAGAGGATGGATACGATATTGAGGAACAAAAGTCAATGAATATAAATCGAATCAATCCCAGGAAATTATATAGTAACTTAGTGGTGCTGACAGCCCCGTGACTGTAAGCCTACTAGCCACATGCAAGATTTTTGATTGGTAAAGTTTATTTGCAGTCAGGGTTTCAGGGATTTGTCGATGTCGATCGCACCTTTTTATGTTATAAAAACGCCGATCAGAATATTCTGGACTTTAGCATCTTGTGCAATCGCGTGATCGGAACCGGCCTAAATAAAGGGTATTGTAAAAAGACTTCAATAATATATTCTTGTCGAGTTTTTTCGCAAACTTATCAGTTGTGCACTTAATTCATATTCATCTCCTAAGCTTTTACAAATAATTCTCGAGTCCATCGGTTAAGGAAATTGTCTTTCTTATGCGCCCGAAATCTCAACCACCTCTGGCTGAATCCTTGGGAGTAACTTCCTGAACTTGTGATATGGTGTTGTCAATATTAATTTTTGATCGTGCGATAGAATATTTGATAGCTGATGCTGTAAGATTCATTTCCGAGACGTATTTGCCGTGGCTGGATTGGGTCTGGTTCATTTCCCCGACAATCACTTCCCCGACAATTATTCCCCAACAATTATTTCGAAGTTATCTTTTTTGTGCTAGGTAAAATAACTCTGGTGGGAAATTTAGACGTTTTGACAAACATTAACGACTAGTGTCGTAATATTTTTCGGGAAATAATTGTCGGAGAAATGAACGAGTCCCGTCTGGATCCATATATCAAATCGACGGCCATAGCACTTTTGTATAGTTTCTCGGTATTCGAAGATTCTGTATTGACATTATTGTTAGTTAGAGTTTCAATAAACCTTACGACAACTTGATTACGCCACGCCGAGCCTGCGGCGTGTTATTATCTTCTGCGCGATATCGATAACAGCATGCACTGATTGCAATACCGCGAATTCCATTGTCCGATAAGATTCCTGTTTGCTTCAAGTTGTTCCCAATACGGTTTCTTTGTACAAGTTAGTTCTTCACAATATTCATTAAGACGCCTTTTCAGTTCTAATATCTCCCGATTTCATTCTTCTATTAATTGCTTTAATTGATTGGTAGTGTTAGTAAGATCTGATACAGACTGAGTTTCCCGATTTTCTAGGCTCCCATCTTCAGTATTTTCTTAGACGTAGAAGGATTAGTATCATCTGATTAGTAACAAGTCGACGTCGTTTGCTACAATCAATGATCATCTGATAAAAATGACCAGTAGATATAACTTGGTTATAATGTTTTTTCACAAAGTTCTGGAGGTCTATGAGTTCAGGATAAAGTCATGTAAAGTGCAAGACGTTTAATTGCTTGACCTCCACTAGCATATCGCCATACTTACGATTCCCTCGTCTCACAGGACTTTAATCCGAATTTACTGTATTTCTCAATTAATTCAGCAAATAGACAAGGAAATTTCCTTCAATGCAGTTGGTTGTGTCTGTTGTGGCTGCGACGTCTTGCTTTGGGTATGTAGGTAGTATGAAATATATAAGTCCATATATATATAGTTTAGCACCGACGAATACAATTTCCTGTAAATTTACCGTATTTTCAGGTTTTATACAACTTTTCGGAGAGACGTGATTATGAGAAGAGCTTGCGTGATTATGAAAGAGGAGAAGAGTATGAGTTAGAGCCAATCAAATTCAAGAAAATTTTTCTAGAAAATCGATAACCATTTTTGGTAAAATCCCTGACTGTATTGTTATATCGTAATAATAATAATAATACACTCATTTAATATACCGTATTTGTCAATGTTTTGTTCAAGAATCAAATTTAACAATTCAAAAATCCTTTTGTCAGTTGCTAACACGGCTTTCTACTTTCTATGGTATCAAATCTAGCACGAATACTCGATCCACTCGATTCACTCTCTCCGGATACTTCAGGTATAGTTTCTGAAGGACTTTATTGTATATGATTCCACGGAGTATTAATTGAATGAATTCTCGGAGGATCGTCTTCTCCAAAGTAGATAAATGGGTATCGTGCCGACGGGTGGTGGTCTTATATTGAGGAGTATCTGGATTGCTGGCAGCGTGTTGTTTATCACACCAAATATGGGCTATTATAAAAGCTGGACAAGAACAAATCCATTTATTGACATCCACATGACGGTATCCTGCTATAATATGATTTAAATGATCAAGATGAGGTAAGTGTGTTTAAGAACCCGCCAATGGGATTCAACTATCATTGTCGTTCTTGCTATAGACATGGCTCTTGGATAGGATGATCGAGCGAAAAGCTTCCAATTTTTCTTACTATACCAGTTTATCCACAGATATGCCCATAAGTGAACAATATTTCTCTGTCGACAATATTGATAGACCTCAGACGTGCTTTTGTGATATATTTTGTCGCATGTAAGAAATACAATTATATATCTACTGGTATTAGCAGATGAAGTATTGAATGTTTTTTATCAAGTTCATAACTGCCTTTGCATCTGCTTCAGAACATAAGGGACTTCGTCTTCCTGTAGGAATCTAGCTTCACTTGAATGCTGAATCAAGTATTGTGACGATTTGTAATTTTTTTTTTGTTTATTTTACGACCAATAGCACGTTCAATATGCAAGAGACATAATTGAATATTTGTTGTTCAAGACCAAGCCTCCTGTACTGCTGCAATTTGTCCCATGTCCTTGTCAAGAAGAATAAATTTTGTTCTGCTCTAATCGATTAGAAGAAGGCCAGAAAAGCCATGACGCGATTATTACTGTAAAAGACCTTCAGATGCAGTGAATGTATCAAAAGATACAAATAAGCAAGCGGCATTCCGAATCCTCCACAATTAATTATTAAGGCAAACAATTCAAAATTTTCTTGATTTGTTTTGAATGTCCTTTGAAATATTGTTCATGAAAGGCGTGGTAAATCCAAGCGCTCGGTCAAAATCTTTTTTAATATGAAGGATTAATTTATAACCTGCATTGATTAGTTCACGTCGCTGCATGTAATCTTTTGTTAAAACAACTTGATTTTTTATATTTGTTATATATTGTCCAGCAGAAAGTTTGAGTGCCCAATAGTACACTTGATGATAAGTGGATCTATCAGCTTCTCCTCAGAACGTCTTTTATGAAATTCTACCTTGCGGTTTAGATTTGTTTTGATCCAATTTATTGCTACTTGAGGCAGTCCAGTTTCGCGGTAAGTTGGTTGCTGATGGTATAAGTGATTGAAGGTGTCTCAAAGGTTTATTTTGATTTTTCCATTACAAGGAAATCGTTCAATGGCTCGTACTACACTGATTCGTTGTACGGGTTGATCACAAGGACGCTTGTGTTGTCGTTCGATTCTTTGAGAGCAGAATAGGTAAGCACTGGCACATCCATAAAGTTGGTTGGCCTTTGTGTTTATATAAAGTTTGTTCAGTTCCCAATAGTATTTTGATCCAGCTTAAATCAAAATTACTAAAGTGTTTACAATATGATAGAAAGTACGTGTATTATTTTGATCTATTTTATATAGTGGCATCTCAACAAGTTTATCACTTAATTCAATCGTAATCGAAAATTGAACATGGCTATGCTCTTCTCCTTCTTTCTCTTGAAAATGTACAGCAGCAAGTTCTTCGAGATCACCTAATTCATAGATAAGTTCTTCAACTGATTCGAGTCATCGTCACTTGCCGGCGGTTCATAACTTGTTGTATTTTCAATAGTAGGGCCTTTATTCGTTGAAACATGTTTTTTCTGTGCAGAGCAACGATTGCATACTGCCCATGGCCAGTTTTTGTGCCGCGAGTTCTCATAAAATCATCGATCGGCCTTGTTACTCCACATATTTGTTTCAGGAAAATCTATAAAATTAGGATACATCATCGATAGTTAATTAAATTGTTTCATGCACAGATATTATTTTCGTCATATCAATAATACATATTAATATTTGATGCCATTGGGCTGTCACGAGGGAATTGGCCAGACATTGTGTTATGTCGAACAAATCAAAAAATTCAACTGGCATTTCGTGGTGGTAAGTAATGTGAGAGTAATTGTAGTATACTAACACTAAGTAATTGCGTTCTTTATGACGATTGTAGGGCAACTCATACTCATGTCTCTTTATATAATAAATTCATGAATACAATCGCGCTTTAGTTTTTGGAAATTTATTTTATGTAATAATTAATATGCGCCTATTCAGTTATATACGTGTAATACACAGTGAACCCAGTTAATCTGAATTCCCCGTTAAGCCGAACTATTCTCTCAAATCATTTTTACATATAGTAAAATTACCTCGCTAAACCGAAGGGTTTGTAGGATTCAGCTATATTGAATTTACCCCAATAATCCGAATTTTCCCTATGTGTAATCCGAAGAAATTCTGTAGTACGAACCAATAAAATAGCGCATAAACTCAAACCGCGTTTAGCATTGAAGTGCGCTTAGCATTTTTTGACGTGTCAAAGGAGAGAGATATGAGTTTGAAACAAACTGCTGAATGCTCTGAAATATGCAAGACAAAGGCGGACAATCCAAACATAAAGAATGCCGAGCTGGCATCTCGATATAATGCTGGCAAATCGACAATAATCGCTTTGGTTCAAGGAGAAAAAACGATTGAAGAAGATTCAGATTTAGAAACGGTCGCCAAACCTGTCCTGTAACAACTTTGGCTGTGAAATTAATCGATAAGCTAACAAACTTTTCTGACAAGTGAGAACGAAATGTGCAGGTAAGCGAAAAATTTCTCTGCAAATTAAAAATTGTCAAAAAGGACATTGTGCAAGTCGATTATAGACAAACGGATATTACAAGTTTTTGCAACCGATTGCTTAATACCAAGGAGTTTATTCTATAAATATTAATACCTAATAGTTTTACACAATA